TGCCACTGACACACTGCAGGAGAGCAGTGGCGGCAACCAGCCCCTTGGTGTTGCTCCCCAGGGGCATTTTCACCGAAGGCATCTCCTGCATCATCGCGGGGCTGCTGGGAACCGGCAATGGCTCCACCTCCTCCAGCCCCAACATTGGTGTCCTAGGCATCACAAAGGTACCAGGGCTGGGGAGGGGTCCCAACTTGGTCGGGGGAATGGGTGCCATCACCTGCTGCCGGTCTCTCTATGCAGGTGGGGAGCAGGAGGGTGATACAATACGGGGCTGGCATCATGCTCGTGTTGGGGACCATTGGCAAGTTCACAGCGCTGTTCGCCTCCCTGCCCGACCCCATCCTTGGCGGGATGTTCTGCACCTTATTCGGTAACCTCGGCACGTCAAATCCAGGGGCGTCATTATCATCAGCCCCGGGCTGTTTCCCCAGGGATTCAGGGGCTCCAAGCCCGAGGCATGCAGGGTGGGCTTTGAGGGTTTGGGCTGAGCCATGGCTGGGTTTGAAAGCCCTTCGCTGCCTTGGCAGGCAGCCCTCCCCAATGCCTGGCTCCCAGCTGGCAGCACGGGCATCCCTGTGCGCTCACAACCCGGCCGCCGTCTCTGCTGGCAGGCATGATCACGGCCGTCGGCCTCTCCAACCTGCAGTTCGTCGACATGAACTCCTCCCGCAACCTCTTCGTGCTGGGCTTTGCCATGTTTTTTGGGCTGGCGCTGCCAAACTACCTGGATTACCACCCCAAGGCCATTAACGCAATAACCCCGGTGTCCTCCCTGCCACAAAAAGCCCCAATTTTGGGTGTTTAGGAAGGGAGGAGGGCAGTTCTTGCGGGCATTTGCCCAGCCTGGGTAAGCAACGATTAATTAGGCAAATCCGGCTTATCACAGCACGCCCCGGCTCAGTCCCTGCGCTCTCGCAGGTGTCCCCGAGCTGGACCAGATACTGACGGTGCTGCTAACAACGGAGATGTTTGTTGGGGGGACCATCGCCTTCATCCTGGACAACACCATCCCAGGTAATTAAAGCACATGGAGCCAGCGGGAGGAAGCAGGGGGCAGGTTCATTTTGGTTTAGAGCTGCGAGAGGATCGGCGGGGGAGGGGGGGGGGGGGGGCCGGCGGGCAGGCAGGGGCCAGGGTCTCGGCCGACGTGGTGCCTGCTGCCGCAGGGACGCAGGAGGAGCGAGGACTGGTGCAGTGGAAGGCGGGCGCGCACTCGGACAGCACAGTGAGAGCCAGCCTGAGGAGCTATGACTTCCCCTTCGGCATGAGCGCGGTGAGGAGGAGCCGGTGGCTGAAGCATGTGCCCATCTGCCCGGTGTTCACGGGGTTTAAGGCCCGGGCAAGGGGCAGTGGCGCGGTGACGGCGGCAGCTGCAGACGTACAAGATAATGCAGACGGGCTCTCCGTGTGCACAAAGGTCTGAGCAAGGGGAGGGCTCGCACCCTGGCGCCGGAGGAGCCAAGCCGAGCTCCCACAGGTGCCGTCAGAGTTCGTTAGCACCCGCCAAGTCCAAAGGCAAGGCTTCTGGTGCTTGTCTCGAACACAGGGATAGGGAAACTCAAAGGCGCCTTTTGGGGACATCTCGAGCTCCCAGGGTACCTGCCTGGGAACTGCCACCCCCCGTGTCATTGCTCCACCTCAAACTTCAGCTGGCTGAGACTTGTTCGGCACTTGCCAAAGCTCATTAGCCACCGTCAGAGCTAGCTAGAGCCCCCAGAGCCACAAACCCCCACCCAGGGCCACGGATTTTCACTCTGTGCCCTCGGCTTCGGCAGGACTACCCAGCGGCTGAAGGAGGCTCTGTGCGGGGTACAGTATCCAGACCAGCGTTAGGATGCCTAGTTTAAGATCATACATTAAAAAAAAATTTAAAATTCAAGCCCACTTGCCCTACCAATGTCTTTGCTGTGTCCTGCACTACTCCCTCGTCCCTTCTGCATTTTGAAGACTCCAGCAGCTTTCCATACTCACTCCCGGGCCGCCCAACATGGAGACATGCTAGATTTTGTCCAGCCCTAGCAACTGCGTGTTCGGTGGGCTTCTGCCCAAACCCCGGTGCAGTGGGAGAGGTGGTTCAGCACAAGCCCTTGGCAAACCCATCCTGCTGTGGAGGGCACTGGACAGCCGGCTCCATCCCAGCCGCTCTGGTGAAGTGCTGCCTCATGCAGCCAGATGATTTTCAGCAGCAGGCATGGAAGGCAGCTAATGGCCTCATTGCAATGGCCAACAGAGTCAAGCCCATTTCTGGGCTTGGGTTTAGCACCAAAATCCAAAGTTGAAGCCAGCATTGCATGACCCTGTCACAGGCTGTCCACACTAGCGTGGTGGGACAGCCATGCACTCATTCCCCAGCCCAAGCAGGAAAAGCAGAAGTGAGAAAACCTGTGGGTTGAGAGAAGGACAGTTTAATAAGAGAAGGGCAGGGGGGAAGAAAAAGACCAAAAACCCCTAAGTGATGCAAATGCAATCACTCTGCACTTCCCACAAACACAGCCATGTCCTGCCAGGCTCTGAGCAGCAGCAGAACCCCACCTCTTCTGCTGTCCCAGTTTTGTTGTCAAGCATGACATTACACAGTGTGCAATACCCTTTTGGTCACCTGTGTCCCCTCCCAACTTCTTGCCCACCCCCAGCTTACTCGCTGGGGCTGGAGCAAGAGAAGGAGAAAGCCCTGATGCTGTGCAAGTGCTGGCTGTTCAGCAACAGCGAAAACACCAGTCACAAACCCCAAACACAGGAGGGCAGGGGCTGTGATGGAGAACGGCAGCTCCATCCTAGCAGAGACAATGTTATATACTTGGCTGGGATATGGCAGGGAAAAAAGCAAAGCAAAGCAACCAAACCGTGGCAAGGCTGGCTGTTTCACAAGCAGCTGGCTCCTAGCAGCGGCATTCAGTTGCAAATCGCACTCAGGCTGAAACCCCAGGAGGAAGCTCACCGGCAAGCAACTGCTGCCAGGGGTTCTCTGGTGAAACTCCCACTCCAGTTAAAAATAAAAAACCAGGGCATGGTAGCATGTTATTTCCTGACCTTTTGTCTTTAGGTGCTCGAGTCTAAACTATTTCAAGTCAGTGGAAACGCCAGAGTAGTTTTGCTGCTCCTAGGAAGGCCAGCAGATCTGAGAAGGTTAGGAGGGGGGAAGGTAACACTCAGTAAGCAGCCTGGGACAATTGCGATTAGCATTTTGCAGAGCAACAGCAAAATGAGTTGGTCTGACTGAATTCCTGAGAGGGGCTCCTCCACCTGGAGCAAGACCGATGCAGTGATGTGGTTACGCTGTGAGCTAACACCTGCATAAAGGCTTCATCTCACTCTTCCCATTCTGCAGTACTGCATAATTTCTGAAGTGTTTCCATC